GCTGGTCAGTTTCAGCAGCGGCTGAATCTGGATGCCAGTTCCGACTTACATACAGATTCAACTTAAGAACAAACCTACAGTCCCTATCTTGTACGTAACCCGGGGACTGCCTGTAGAGAGGAATGATTGGAAATCTGGTGAAAAAACAGGTTCCCAGCATCACTTTGCTAACTTTTGGGATAAACATTTGCATTCTTATCTCAACCAATGCTCCAGACTTCTGAGGTTGACCCAGACTAGAGAGACTCTGTAGTTAAGCAACCTGATTACTGGCATGTGAGATAGAAATTTCTGAGTAGAAGTGGGTGAATTTTTTTGACTAATAGTTTATTTGCTGAAAAATACAGTTTAAGTTGCCCTGAAACTATTTGCAAAATAAGGTTGAGTTTGGCACACCTCCCCCCCCCCCAAAAAAAATCATTATCATTCTGAGTTGATTTGAGATGAAACCTTTGGGTGTTTATATTGGGCGCTAAATTGAAAAATCAGGTATTTTCTTAGCTGTACTTTTCAATTGTATTCCTGCTCTGACACCAATTCATTTTATGATTTTCAACAACTCTCATCTCCCTGTTTCAGTATCTTCATCTATAAAATGGGGATAATAACCATTACACAAGCTCAGTTCTTACATATAAATAAGCTATTGACGTTAGCCCTTTTTTTCTCTTCATGGAATGATCCTGACTGTCATGGTTATTCATAAAGCACTCACTGCATGAGTTATGGAAATAAACTTCAGCCAGCAAATCATTCATCTTTCTGCTTTAAGTAATCTCTCAGTCCCAATAACTGGGCATCTGAACACCTCACAATCTTTAATGTATTTCTCCTCATTGTGCCTTTAGGAGCTAGGACAGTGCGATTATCCCTAATATACAGATGAGGAACAGTGGCTCAGGAAGACCAAGTGATTTGCCCAAGGTTAAGGAAAGATTAAAGTGATGGAACCCACACCCTTTGTCTTACAGTGTTAACTGGAAGCTCACTGAATCACTGTTCTCTTTGAGTGTCTACTATTAATTAATTAGTCAGTGTGTAACTGGTCGCCAAAGTCACATGGTGTTGTTTCAACTTTCTGCCAAACATCCTAAGCAGAAAAATTATGAATGACCAATACTGAGTAGCAAAGAACTAATAATAAATAACATGTTTTATGGTAGGCATTTCAGATAAATAATAATAAATGCTAAAATAGATGCTAAAATAATAGATGCATTTTCACTAATGAATGATCATCTGAAAACAAATTTGATTAAAGGCGGAGTGAATATTCTGTGGTTATTCATAACAATTTTTGATTAATTTCTCTGTGTACCATTCCACAAGCTCTAGAAGATATCTGCATTAGGAGGGTGTGGTGATGATTAATTAGTTAGATGATAAAGTTTCATGGTCTGCTTCCTTGCTACAAAGCTCCAGTTGTAAATCAGAGTAATGCCATTCATTTTACATCACTATGTGATAGGAGCACTGCTTCGCAGAATCAGGTGCAGTGATGTCACTGGATTTAGACTGCCAGGCAGCTGACATTATGAAGTCATGAATCAGGCCCATTGAGTTCAACATATTTATACAAACACTCAACAGGAGTAGCTTAGTGGTGAATCAAGACTGTAAGGCACCAGGTGAAAGCTGAGCAGTAGTGTGGCAATAGACAACCCATACTGACACTTTTGAGAAAAGAATTTCTGTTTATCTACAGAGCAGGTACAATAGGGGAATGGCAGAGAGCAAGTTTCCATTGTAAAACCTGCCAATGTCTCACTCAGATCTGTCCTGGTACAGCCTAGTCTCATTCAGTCCATGGCTTCCTTCCCCAGACTGCCAAGAAAGGGGCCAATTAGCTTTAATGTGGTGGTAAATTTTATTTTATTGGACTCCTATCTACTGGGAAGTGAATGGAGACTCACCAGCTCATTTCACACAGACCACAAACTTTTATTCGCTTCTACTCCGGGCCTCATTCATGCTAGCTACCTAGAAGAGAACAACTCCAAACTTCATAAGCATTCCCTTATGCAAGTAATGCCCTGAATCAGCAAAGTAATCTTCACTCTCTTCCTTTACATTTATGGCATAGCCCAGACTCCCTGAACATAGATGGTATCACGTTCCACATTGTGGAGCTGTTCTTCACTTGCTGATATTTAAAAGCATTTCCACTACAGACTTGTTAACACTGGTTTCCCCATGAAGCCAGCTGGGGGACCTACCATTTTTTTTTCCAGTCTTAGCATGGACAGCAGGAGGAAAAGTACTTTCAGAAGCTCACCCAATCTCTAATGTGCTTCAGTTTCGGGCAGTTACTTGAAAATGATATCTTTATATTAGAAATTACTGGGAGTGAGTTGTGCAGATAATGTTAACCAGCCTCATAAGAATAGCCATACTGGGTCAGATCAAAGGTCCATCTAGCCCAACATCCTGTCTTCCAACAGTGTCTAATGCCAGATGCCCCAGAGGGAACGAGCAGACCAACCATCAAATGATTCATTCTTTTGTCACCCATTCCCAGCTTCTGACAAACAGAGTCCAGGGTTACCAGTCCTGGCCATCCTGGCTAATAGCCACTGATGGACCTAACCGCCATGAATTAACCTAATTCTTTTTTTGAACCCTGTTAAAGTCCTGGTCTTCACAACATCCTCTGGCAAGGAGTTCCACAGGCTGATTGAGTGTGGCCTCCACATGAGGAAACTCACTCAAGAAAGTGCCCATAGGGTGTATTAAAAGGGTAGGAAGCGCTTGAAATGGAGAGTTGGGAAGAGCTCGCACAGGGACGGAAGCAGAGAAGAATACAGATGGGGACAGCATGTCTTTACAACGTCTGGGAGATTCTGAGAGGGCATATCTTTGCTGAATATCCATAACTCCCATAGAAGTCAACAGCAGAATGGTAGGCACATCTTTAAGAGAGGCTGAAAAATGGGGGCCAACATAGAAATGGAGGGGTACCTGAAAGAAAGGTTTTTTATTACTGTTCTGAGGGATCTGCCGCTGGGAACAGCTCTGAATCAGCAGTTGTTCTGGCTGTGCTGGTTCTGACCCATAAGTACAGACAGTAGCGAGCCAGGCTGTGCACCCACTCAAGTAACAGAGGTTGCACCCATTTACTCCATGAGGTTTACTCCTGCATGTCCTTTTCTAGATTGGAGATTTATTATACTGATGCAGGTACAGTACAGGCAGGCCCCGGGTTACATACAAGATAGGGACTGTAGGTTGGTTCTTAAGTTGAATTTGTATGTAAGTCGGAACTGGTACATATTGTAGGGGAAACTCTAGCCAAACATTTCTCCAGAGCTCAGTTTTATTCTCCCACACCTCACTTCCCTCAGTCCTTTATTCTCAAGCTGAGGTGTCTGCTGAGAAAAGCCGCTCTGCGTCTCCCTGGTCTGCTGGGGGAGGGGGGTGCTAGCTTCACGTCTCCCTGGTCTGCTGGGGGGGAAGCAGCTAGTGCGGGGTTGCCTCACCCCGTTTGTAAGTAGGGATCCGATGTAAGTCGGATCCATGTAACCCGGGGACTGCCTGTATATCAATTGTTGGGTCAGAACTATTCCAGAATGTGGACAGCATCTGGAGGCTCTTTATAATGCACTGGCTGATAGAGGTTAGAATTAAAGACACTGCAGTGTTGTTGGTTTTTTGTTTTGTTTGTTTTGTTTTTAATTCTGCATCCGATGGACAAGATCCAAGCTGCTTATCCCAGTTTCGGGTTTTTCTGCAATTTTCTGCAATTCTAAAGGTTTGCTCTCTCTGTTCTCTGAGAAATTAGCAGGGAGTTTTTGCTGAGAAGCCAGACCATTTTCAGCACTTAAATCCCAGGCTTACTGAACTGTGACAATTTGAATGAGTGAGATGTCCCAAAACTGATGAGTGAGATTTTAACTGTCTCTCTGAAACAAGTCACCAAATCTTCCTTAAAGCTGCCTGCAGGACAGTGTTGTTTGTTTTTGCAGCTGCACTGGCAGTGATTTCATAGTAAGGAATCCTAGTCACTCCCAATAGCAGTGGCCTTCTGCTCAGACTGGCCAAGTATTATAATTAGGATGGGCTGGAGAACAATTCCATTTTATGAAATGTTTTGGTATTGTCAGAAAAGTTCCATAGAATTTGTTTGGCCAGGTTTATAATGGCTCTTCCATGGCACATGCTATCCATGGCACATATAGATTTGCACTGTGGATGAGATCAGATCACAAAACCTGGGTCCAAATTTCAAACATCCCTTAAGTCTGGAGTGTGCAAGTGTGATGATTTAGTTTGGTTTATTATTATTATTGATTGTTTGTATTATACTAGTTCCTAGAAACCCCAGCTCTGATCAGGGCCCTTTTGCATGAGAAGCTGTATTCAGTCTGAGACAGTCTCTGCCCCAAAGAGCTTATAATCCAAATGGATAGGACACAAGATGAGAGGAAGAAAGTTTATCCCCATTTTAACAGGTGCAAAACTGAGTCCAGAGATTAAGTGCTTTGTTTAAGGTCATCCAGAAAGCAATTGTCAGAGCCAAGAATCAAAACCAGATCTCCTGAGTACCAGCCCAGTGCCTTTTCTGAAGAGAAAGGCCAGAGGCAAAATTCAGCTCTGAATCAGGGTTTGGATTCTCCCCCCTTTCTCCCTGTGCGTTAGGATTTGGACCAGGCTCTGCTTTGCCCACATGGGCCAATGCATCTCCATATTTTCTGTGATGAGCATGGGCAGAATTGAATGCTGACAGCTAAACCCAACTTCTCACGTGCTCACAAGCAAGACACTGATCTAAAGCTGGGGAAAGGATCAGATGACAGAGGAAGTGCAGAGTGGAATGACAGTCTGCAGGACTGGAAGCTATTTCCCCCTCCATTCAAGAGGCATCTATTTTTGACTAACTTTTTCACAGTTGTGCAAAAATTGTAAGTATTTTCTCCCATAAAATCTCACCCAAAAATATCATCTGTTTAAATCTGGCCCATTTCCTTTCTCCCTTCCCACACCCTCTCATTCAGGAAATTAGGGAAACAATTAAGCACTAAAAATATCACAGGGGACCAGCCACTAAGTGTGTGTCTCTTTGAAGAACTTTACACTTTACATAACACAAGTGTTTTGTGGAGAGACACTGGTGTGGGATTCAAGAAACTGGGGTTCTATTTCCAGGCCCGAATGAAGGAATTTCTTTGGGGGGGGGGATGCTTTTTTTTTTTGGTAAAGGTGGACTGCAAGGATGTGAATACATTCCACCCCTCCCCTCCAAGTAAGTGGGGAAATCAGCCACAGCCTTCCCCTGGCTGGCCAGAGCTGGGGGGAGGGAGGCTCAGGCAGCACACTGCTTCTGCCTTCCCCTGGCCGGCCAGAGTACACTTACTTGGGGGACCATTGGGGGTGCATTTGCACCCCCTGTTTATGAGCCTGATTTCTGCCTCAAATACTTCAGTTAGTCTATAAGGTGCCACAGAACTCCTGACCTACAACGTTATCTTTTATAAGTCTTTTGTCTAGTTTAATCAGATGATAAGATCTTCAAGGCAGAGTTTACCTCACACTATTGGTTTGTAATGCATACAACACAATGGGACCCTTTTTCCTACATTCCCCTCTCCTCCTCCAGCTGCATTTAATAAGCATGACCTATAGCTCTGTGGTCAGAACTTAGCCCTTCCTTCTGGTTCCTGGAGCACCTGCCTCAATCTGAGTTGTTACAAACTCCACAGTTGCTAGGAGCAGAGTAAGTTTAAAAATTCTGTCTCAGTGGTAATTTTTGAAAGTTTTTTTTCCTTGGGGAGTATGAAATGCTGGTTTTCACATAGAAAATGTAAAATTTTACTAATTTGCATGTATTGGAAACAGATTTTGGAAATGTCAAGGATTATTTGCTCATAAAATAGGCCTATTTTTAGCAAATACTGCAAAAATTCACAGGTTTTCCAAGGAATTGGTGGTTTGGGGAAAACTGAAATGAACTGCAGACAGCTCATATGTCTAGGCTTTAAAATCTAACAGCTAATATTTTTCAATTGCATTGTTCAGAACACATTCCTTGACTACCTTTCAAGAAGTTCTTGGTAGCATTCAGCAGGTGATCTGCACAAGTAAAGCTTGCATAGCTGTCATAGGAAGGAACTCTGGTAATGGTTAGGGCTGCATAACCTATATGAGCCAGGGTATGCCTGTACTGCACTTAGCCACCAGTTGACTCAAGTTTACTGAGGCTAATGGGCAGTTTAATTGAGGTGTCAGAGGTTCTGTCTCAGGCTGCTGCTGGAGCTCTGGGCTTCTCCCTGAAAGGCCACACTGCAATTAAACAGCCTATTAGCCTCAGCCCTGGTTGGCTGGCCCAGGTCATCTGAGGGCATCTGACTGTAGTGTAGATGTAACTTGGTGTCTGTGCTGGAGCTGGGTAGGAAATGGTTTTCCCATGAGGGCAAAAAAGCTTTGTGATTAAAAATATTCAAGCCCCAAATTAGGACAAAACCACAAATTCCAGAATGATTTCATGTAGCAACAATCAGCAAAAAAATGGTATGGGTCAATCAAAGCTCTTTGTTCTGATCTTGACCTTTAAATATTTTTTTTAAATAAGTCATTTATATTTTGAAATGAAATGAAGGACTAACTGAAGTGTAAAAAAGGAGTGTTTTGTTTAGAAAGCATCCTAATGGATCATTTAAAAAACTTTCCCCCAAATTATTTCAAGGGGAGAAAACCATCAAATCCACCCTTTCCTGTGAAAGGAGCATTGGAGTTGGACCAGTAGTAGTAGCAGCATTAAGACCAAAAGAAAGGCCATTCTGGGTCAGATCATAGGTCTATCTAGCCTAATAGCCTGTCATCTGATAATGATCAAGCATCATGAACCAGACCCCACAGAGATCTTGAGATCCACTTAAAATTCAAAAGTTTTTAAATCAGTAATACATGTGGGGTCTGTTTGTCCTAAGATGTGTTTCCATCAGCCTCTCATGTAAGCAACAGGTTTGTATTCTGCATCTTGTAGGGGAAATCTTTCCCTTCCATTGACATACCTAATTTGTATGTGAATACTGCAGGCTGAATTTTAGATGTTCAAAAATACAGGCTATGCCTTTGGCTACTGGGAAGAGACACCTACTCTCTATCAACAGCCCTTGGTACATGTGAGGAAGTTATAATTATATGTTCTCTAAATCTCCCTCCTTTTTTGTACCTCTCCTTTCTCTCACTCCCATTCCCACTGAGACACCTCTTCTTCTGCTCTCACTAGCCCCCGATACTTTCCTGTCCTCATCTTCTCTTCCTGCTATGTCAGTCTCCTACTCCCAGGGTGCTCCTTACCTTTTTCTCCTTGCTTTTCCCCCTATCATTCTCCTGCATCCATATTCCTGTTTCTCACTACTCATCTCCAGACTCAGGCATATCCTTTCAAATCCATGCTCTCCATATATTTTCACCCTCTCTGTCTCCTGCCTGCTTATTGACACCTCTCTTGTGCCCTCATTACAGATTGGAAAGAAGCAGGTTAACACTGTGTTCTTGAGTATAGGAAGGAACAAAATTAGCTGCATGCACCAATTATAAGGGTGGGTGATTTTCAGGGCTGAGTCACCTGTGATAAATTAAGTACTTGCCCCCTATATCCCCAGACTATAATTGGGACCTACTCCAGGTCTGAAGGGAAAGTTTGAGAGAAATGTTTTTGTCTGCTTCAAATCTTGACTGCAGAAGACTGTTTTGGTGTGTCTACTTCACCACATAGGAGAACAAAGGTTTAGCAGGACTCTATGGGTATGTCTAGACTACATGCTACCCAGCATAGGAAAATGAAGCGGCGATTTAAATAATTGCCGCTTCATTTAAATTTAAATGGCTGCTGCACTGAGCCGATCAGCTGTTTGTCGGCTTATCGTGGTAGTCTCGACGCTCTGCAGTCGACATCAAAGGCATTTGTCGACCTCCCAGGTATACCCTCCTCTGCCCCTCCCCCTCAGAGCAGAATAGGGTTGCTACTTCTGAGATACAAAAGCCAGGGACACTGAGGATGATCCTCAGCCTATACAACTGGATAGCTGGCTGGGTGTAACTGAGCCCCTTTAAAAAAGCTACCCTGCTTTGGGGAGGGGGCTGGTCTCGACCTCCTGAGGTCTCTTCCAGCCCTAGGAGTCTGAGTCAAAAAAGGGATAATCTTGAGGAAAACCTGAAGAGAGGACAACCCTAGAGCAGAGGGTGGTCACTGGGTTCTCCTACTAGCCCTCAACAAAAGGGTACAAGCTTGATCTATAGACTGTTGAATTTAGGGTGGGGCTGAAAACAGCCCCTCAAAGATGGTCTGAGGAGTAGCCCAAGAGGGAGCAGAAGCATTTCTGGTGCTGGACACTTTGAGCTTGTTGTTACTCTGAAAGGGGAGAAACCTACTGTGACCTGGTTGGAGAGCTGAGTTGTAAGAAAAGAGGCCTCAGCAGCTCACGACCATACTGGTTGTTGACGAGATACTAGATGAGGGAAAAAGAGTTGCTCTAGGGACAGTGCCAAAGTTCGAATGCAGGTACATTGACTCCGGCTATGCAATTAACATAGCTGGAATTGCATATCTTAATTCAAACTTATCCAGTAGTGTAGACCTGGCCACAGAAATTGAAACCAGCAGCAGTCACAGAACCCATTGCAGAAAGTATTGAAGCATGAGGAGAGGGAGGAAGATGGGGCCCAGCTGGAACCAGCCTTGCTCTCCAGCATCTTCTAGGTCCAGTATTATGCAGGAGTGACCTTTCTCCCAGAACCATGTGGGCTGGGCCAAGAGAACTGTTCTGGGAAAGAGCCATGGACTAATGAAAATGAACCTGACAGCTGCAGATGCTGGAGCAGCCTAGCAATAGAGCTAGTTGGGAGAATAGTTTTCTGATGGGAAATGTCCTTTATGCAGAATCAAAATTTTCCATATGAAAATGTCAGTGTGGCTGAAAAAAATCCATTTGCTGCTAGGGGAAAATCCATTGGGTCATTGTTCTTTCTAAGTGGGTTTATGAACAGCAGGGAGAGCACTAGGGACAGATAGTGTAGCCCTATACTGGGAGGGCTCAATCCATCAAAGCCAGCGAAATCACCTTAACTGTCCTTTCAGTGTGCTGACCGGATTCTAATGAGTGGCTCTGAGAAATCAGCTGACTTGGCTTAGAGCAGCAATTCTCAAACCGCAGGCTGCACATGGCCCAGTTAGCACACAGATGTGGCCCAACTTATGTGCTTACCCCCACCCCCAAAATACGCTGTTCTAGTCTGGCAAGGGGTAGGACGGGCTGGCCAGGAGAAAGCATCTTGCAGCCATTTGGGCTGGTGAGTGCCACAGGGGGCAGGAGAGTGGGTCTATTTGGGGTGGGAAGTGAGGGGTTGGGAGAAGCTAGGAGCTAAGGTTTTCTGGAGTACTGCAGCAACCCCAAGTTTCAGGTGTGGCTCCTCCCCTGGCCCTGCTTCTTAGGTCCTGGCATTTCACTTCTGGCTGGTCTCAGGGTGTCTAGTGCTGGGAGGCACAGCTGCCTGTTCATATGCCATTGTATGCACATACTGGCTGTTGTCCAGCTGTTGCCTGGCCCCGCACCCAGGGCTCTGCTCCTGGCCCTGTTCTGGGCAGGTGTGGGCCTATGGGAGTTTGAGCCTTTTTTGGGGGGTGGGAGTTGTGGTTCTTAACCTGTGGCCCGTCTAATATGTTGTGGGCTGCATATGCGCACACTTATAAACAGATTTACTGGCTTAGAGGCTGTTGAACTGAGGTGCAGGTGTTTGGGGTCAGGTTGGATCCTGGGTTCTGGGACCTGCACGAAGGAGAAATCTTGAGCTTATGCTCCAGCCTGAATATCTACATATTGCTAGTAAATGCCACAGGGAGCTTGACACAGCTGGCAATGGCCAGCCAGGGGTTTTCAGTTGCAGACTGCAGAGAGCC